CAGAGGAGAACTTTCAATGTAAGAGACATGGTAAATTAAAACATACCTAGTAAATATTCCATGCCTTGAGCAGACTGGATAACTTCAGTGCAAACAGAGGAACTACTTATTCCATTTAAGGTATCATTTGCTTTCTTTATGACCTGGTGGAAATCAATTTCATAAATTGATGGTGTTATCTACCTTAAAATAATTATTACGAACAAGATTGTCCCCAACAGAAACTGTTATGCAAAAAAGGAGGCAAATTAAATAAGAAATAATTGCCATACTCCATCACCTGTTTTTATATATTCATGCTGTAACTGTAAGTAGATCGGGGAAAAGTATGAACATTTAAAACCTTAATGTATTCCCCCAAATATTTTCATTACCAAAATAATAGTTTTAAGAGTATGCATGCATTGCTATCTAGTTTAATAATAGCATTCACAGTTTTGGCTGTCTAATACTCAAACGCAAAGAAGAAATTTTAAGGAAAACTAATCTGGCTGTGAAAGATCTGACGCCCATTATCAGAAAATTAACGGCCCCTCCGCACAGCACATTAAACAAGCCTGTTTCTCAAGAAGTGCTGAAGAGCCAGATGCTGGTATCAATGCCCCGAACAACATGCCTTACTGGGCACCCAAAACACAGGAACACCAAATTAACTCATTAACTTGAAAATTTAGGCAAAAGCCAAACTAATCACAAATGACAGGGAGATTAGTATAGGATCTTTAACTGAGGAGGTAACGCTTCTGCTGTGTGACAGCTTTTGGTTTAAAAATTATAATCCGCTCGGCCTGATTCACACCCTTTCTATGCCTATATGGTCTTAAACGCTGAATGAGATGGTACCTACGGGAAGGAGGAAAAGGTTTCGGAGGAGACTATACACTTACTTGCAGGGCACTCTCCAAGCATCTTTGCCATTCGTATGCATACCTCTCACTTTCCTATTTGAAAGAAAAGGACAGTCTGAATCTTGTTCCTACACACATTTCCTTTTCTCCTATCACCATAGACATACAGTAGACAGGTATTTTAAGAGACTATTTGCAGATTAGGTATGTAAACTTTTAACATACCTGTTCCTAATTTTCCCCCATTCTTTAAATATTGTCTTTGCACCTGAACTCTAGAATTTGATTTCTGGGAGTTAGAACTCGTTTCAAAAGGAAGAACATATATGAATGGGTAAAAAGTTTGCATTGCACATACCTACCCCTGCCACATTTATTACAGGTCTGCTGTTCTAGAAATGGGGATTAGCAGAATTTAATCTGAGTCCTTTTACCATCTATTCTCAAGATGAGCAAGAAACATAACTACCACAGAGCCAAAAAAGTTAAGCCATTTCCCAAAGCCAGTGGTCTCAGTGCCAAAGCTGGGATTAGATTTAAGTCGTAACTAATTTCCAGTTACAAGCTTAGACTGCAAGGTCAAGTGATTCTGACTGACTTTCAGACAACAGCATTTTTTTCCCACTTCACAAGACTTTAAAGACAGCAAAGAAGAAACCTCCTTTATGAGCAGTTTCCAATCAAAACATCTAACCTTACCCAGATGCCATCTTCGAATCACACCCTAAATTCCAATAGCTAAAGTCCCAAAGAGTTGGGATACAGAACACCCTTGATATCACACTGATGAAAGTCATCACCAATTTACTTGTATTCCAGATAATTCCTTACCTCAACTTCCCCAGTCAAGTCTTTGTATTTGTCCCTGATGACAGGCAAAGCAGGCTTCTCACTTAGAGTATTTGAACGATCTCTAAATGGCTGTTCCAAAACTGGTAAAGGTGAAGAGCGACTTATTTCTCGGTCACCTAGGCTTAAACTCCTTTTATGAGACCCTGAAAAGTTAGGATATAAACAAGTTAGTCTTTTACTCATAAAGGCACAGACTACTTAAAATGAATAAAGTAGTAGCAAGGGATGCACTACTACTCCAGAAGAAGAAAGCCTTCTATTTACTCAGTGACTGGTGCAAATTTCCCCAGTTCCTCAATTCTCACAATTTTTTGGCACAACAATTTTTTTCTTCTAGAACGAGACCTGCTCCAAACAGAACACAAATCAATGAGAAGATTCATCTTGTTTCCAGTAGTCCTTGGAACAATCCCCATTGGCTAATTTATAATTTGATTAGAAAAATTAGCCTTTGATAAGCACATGCACTGTGAGCTTCCTGCACCCTGAGCAGGCTTACCTTGAACAGACAGGTCAAAGGTAGCCAGTTCACTCTTGATCATTTCTTCACTAGATTTCACCTTGCCTTGGGAAGTTGCCACCAAGAAGTCAAACTTGCTGATTTTTGGCTTTTCACTCTGGAATTCTCCAAAGTCATCTGTAGATTCTCTTCGCAGTTCGGAAGAGATATCACTAGCAAGGAAGTCTGCCTCTTGATTTGTGTCAGCTGCTGCTGCTGCATCCTGTGCTTCTGATGAAGGTCTTGCAAAATCACCAAAGTCTCCAATGTCATCGTCACTTGGACCGCTGGATATTGGTCCAGAGTCTTTAAAGTTTGCAAAGGCTACAAAGGAAACATCCTGTAAAGCATCGTCGCTAGAAAAGGTTGTCACTTTGGAAACTGTCGTCATGGTAATGTTTTCTGAACTGCCAAAGAAGGTCTCCTTCTTCTGAAGAACAGAAGTAGCCGCAGAGGATCCACTTCCTGAAGACTGGACAAAGGAGGAGAGCTTCTTGCTCTGATGAATGTCTTCTTTGTCGGACCAGTCATAGCTTGCCAGGCTGCTCACTGCAGACCCACTGTTATAGCTTCCAAATGGGGCACTTTTTAAGTCATCTATATCTGAGAAAAACAAACCCCTACAATTAGAAGCTGAAGTTCAAACGTTAATCTCTCTACACTGCATAAAAACAATAGCAACTTGCTAAGAGTCTTAAAGAACTGCAAGAACAAACACAGTGAATTGTTGTTTCAAGGAAGCTTAAACTAGACTTTGCACAAAAATAATCTGAAAAATACCTAGGCATTTCATACAAAAAAAAAAATCTCCATTTAATAAAGGTAAGCCTTGACCTTTGAATGTTGCCTTATATTTTAAGCTGAAAGTCACCATCCCACTACGGGTAGTGAAGAAACACTAAAAAAAATAAATGTTTCTAGACAGTACAGACTGCACAGATCACCAGTTCAGTTTTCTGATGCTGGCTGCAGACTCTACAATCAAAATGTAAACATTAGCAACTCAAACATCTTATTGCATTATTTCGTCTTATCGAAACCAACCACACAGAAAACTGGGCTAACTTTCCTGTTCCCTCCGATGAAGTATTAATATACTTTAATTTTATATTCATGCTTTGATACAAATAATGTATAAAAATATGCTGCAAGAATTTTTAAAAAATAGAAACCCTGTTTAAGCTTATCACAGTTACTGCAGTGCTGCACGGCCGACTCTTCAAACTTACAGGTTCCAGGAATGACATGAATATTGTGAAGATCTTGTTTTAGCTTTTACAAACTATTTATTCAGTTAAGTATACAGGAAATCCATTATTTTGTAGAAAGCTCCAAACTTTTATACTCACCTGGCAATTATATGGGCCAGTAGGTTCTTCTCACTGCCATGAGCAGGTATAAGATACAGCCTGGTTGCTTACATTAGAGCCAGCAAAGGAGCCTACAGCAGTGACCAGGGTCTGCGGGCTTTGTCCGCTACTCATTCAACTGATCTTTCACGTTTAGACTGAGATTGATCCATAGCGAAGGCACAGAGAGCCAAGGGCTGGGTAGTGTTATTAAAGCATTAAAAAAAAAAAAAAAAAAAAAAAAGCCCTACTATACTACATTTGGCATTTGTTTTCCAGCATTAACAATTGTCAGTTTGGATTAGACGTTCAGACACTGCTCGGTGCTTAGGGTCAAACGGGCTCAAGGTAAAGCAAACCCAAACCAGAAAATACATTCTCTTAGCATCATTTTAGCTGAGACTCTTCTGATAAACATTATGGTCTTAACTGGCTGGCACGCAGTAACAGCAACTTGGTTTAATACAGCCAGGGTGGGAACAAGCCGACTTTCCAGCCGCCCTCTTTATTCAATCGGGCCACACCAGCCTGAGGATTAAGCCATTTTAACAAAACATTTCTGCCTTCACTTATTCATTTTACTGGAAGGGGAGAGCATGCTACGCTTTAGGCTGCTTTCCAGGCATGACCCACATACATAGCTAATTAAAAAGTCCAACAGATATACAAGTTAATGATAGAGTTTAATGGCTACTACAAAAAAAGCGAAAAAAGGCCCTTTACAATGGGTCAGCGAGGCATGGTGTGTCACCCATCAGATTTTCCTAAGGGATAGTCTTCTGCAGCTGCTACATTTGCACATGACAGCATCTCAATAACAAACGTTAGCACCTTGCATATATACAGCAAGATTTCAAAGCGCCATTCGAATATTAAATTTGTAGAGCAAGCAGTTTACAGAAGGGTAAACAGACGAGAGATGAAATCACCTGCTTATGGCAAAACTGAATAAAAAGAAGGCTCCGAGGTGAAAAGGAGCCGACTTGCAAGGGATCAGTAATTTATCACAAGAAACCACACCTCGTGCTCTCAAATACACGGTTTTGTTTAAAGAAGTTAGATGAAAGCTTTGCTAGCATTAAAGAGAGTGCCAGAATAACCTCCAAAATGTTAGCCAACTGTAATTAATCCTGGGATCTTGAAAATACCACCGTGTACTAGGCAACCCTTTTTTTTTTTTTCAATTTGTGTTGACTCCAAAACCAAGGAAAGATTTAAGCATTGCTATTGTTTCGGTGTTCACCAGGAAATGAAAAGGAAGAGTGATGATCCTACTATGAAGATCTGCACAATCTACTGTGAATTATTTCTTTGATAACTGGTAAGAGTTTGAGCTGAAAACACATCCTAAAGGACCAGGTCGGTGTACTCCTCCTGATCTGATCCTGGCTCAGGGGCAGGCAGGATGAGCAGCAGGCTTCGGTGGGAATTCTGAACTCCCCGTGCTGCGCCTGCAATCAATAGGTCACGGCAGGGAAGGCAGAGCAATATTTTAATTATTCACAAACTAAGATTCAAGATTCTCGACGTGAATTCATGCAGACATGAAACCCATCTGCATAGGTGTAAGAGCTGAGATGAAATGTAATAGTTCAATTCTATACATTTTATTTAGATAGTTATGAAAGGATTACTCTGGTGAATAAACTTTCCTAAGAGTATTATATTACAGGAAAAATACTGCGCTCAGAGACAAAGTGTTTACAGCTAAAGCAGCCCTAAAACAGTTTATTGAAAAGTATGAAAAATAAGAATGTATGTGTAACTGTCCACAATCCAAGGTAAACTAGCTTTTATAAGAATTTTTATTCTATTGCAACAAAACCAACGTTTCGCTGTGCCATGCACTGCACTTCATAGAATCATTTGCCACAAGTTAGATGTTTTTGAATAGAGGAAGTAAAATCACAACCTCTGTCATAGCTACGGCAAAACTAAAGGCTTATCTAGGCTCTTAGCACATTTGCTGCATAATGAAGAGAGGAACATTTTTCCCCCCTGACAGGTAGCAGAGCAACTTGCCACCAGACTAATAAGTGAAGAAGCAGTTTACATGTGAAAAGCACTTCTTGGTTGACCCTAGAGAGCTCTTCATGATGTGGGTATCTTTATTATTGGCGAAAAGATTGTTTTATTAAGCAGTGTTAAGAACTGCTCCTCCAATAGCCTTTTTCTTAAAGACCACAGATACATTTAATGAATAAAAAAGCTCCAGCTAAAATGCTGCAGTTATCACCTCTGATGTAATAAAAGCTTCATTTTGCTGGTACGGCAATTCAAAATTTAAAAAGATGCATGTGTATTAGTAATATTTTTTCAAAGCAAGAGATGATTAAGTGGAAAAAAAATGAATTACTTCTAAGCATCACACTTAGCGAAGACAGATGCTACAGAGCTACTGCCATTTCCTCCTGGAGGACACTTCTAGTAAGAACAGAATCTGAATTGATGAGAAGCATCAGATTTTATCAAAAAAATGAGCAAAGACTAAATCCATTCAAAATTCCATGAAAATGCTTTGTTTCGGGGTTACGCAGTCTTTTTTTGTAAGGTTAAAAGTGATTTCTTAGTTAGCATTTTTGGAGAGCATACAGCAAATTCCCTGTCGAAGCAGGGCAAATCTTAAATTGATCATGCGTTAGGAATCCTATAATCCTACCACAAGAAGATGTATCAATAGATTTCAGTGAAACGTATCATCATAAAACAGTATTCCTTAGTAACCTCAGTAGCAATTCTGTGGTGTCTTCCAGAAACGACACAGCAGATTGGAGTTTAGTTTTGTTCTAAAAATCCAGAAGCTCTTATGCCCCGTATAGTTAAACCACGTGTCATTGGCACTGCCAGCTTTGCACTGGTGAGACCACGAAACACACCCCAGATTAAACACACTGGATATAAATTCTCAAATCGTTTAAAGATGGGGGCAGGGTGGGAAGGGTGCATGTGTGTTTGTAAAAATAAGAGTCAGATCCATTCAAATATGATGTAACCACTTTTTTTTTTCCCCTTAAAAATATTTTCTAGTGAACCAAGAATGGAAAAAGTGATCTTCACAGTGTCATGGTGGAGTGCAGTAAGTTTCCAAAAGCTTTAGAAACCAAACCCAATTTGTATTTCTTCCAAAGCAAAGGGTTTGGAATATTTACCATTGACTTTCCATCCATTTTGAACTACCAATACCATAGTCCAACCTGCCTGATCATCACCTGGGGACAGCAACAGCTACACAAGCCAGCCACGCAGCTGCTGGAGAGAGGCAGAGCAATAGCTGCCAAGGAATGTACAGGAGAATACTGACAGAGGATGAAACACAGTTAAAACACTGTTTCCCAGTGTTATCTCATCTACAGAAAAACCTGACATCCTTCATTTGAGCCAACTATAACAATTTAATTCAGCTACCAAGGATTAAGTTATGGCTGGAGGCAATTTACAAGCTGGAGCCTTCAGTATCAACAGTTTAATCATTTAAGTAAAACCCTTGACAGCATTAGCAATATGCTAAAGAAAACTGAAAAAGACCGTTCAGAAGACTGTAATATATTTAGTGATTTTTTAACCAACATAGGAGACTTTCAAGTTTTTATATTTCAGTTTATATTAAATTCTGATGAATAAATATAACTCGTGTCATTTTTTGGTTGTTAGGGTGATGCAGGTGGTAGCTAGTTCTGTTCCTAGTGGAAGAGCATCAACGTGCCACAACCAGAGCCGTTACACTGGGAACATCACCAGCAGTCTGAGCAAGAAGTCCAGAGACTGAACGGGAACAGGCACCCCCTCCTTACCGCTTCCAGGGGGGCTTCACCTGATAAAGGCAGAGATGAAACCAGAAGAATACAGAGGCTTGTATGTACTACTGCCATCTGTATCGTGCCTATCAGCAATCAGAAAAATTCAAAGCCCGTTTCTCAGCTGGTGAAGTCTGGAACAGCGTTAATAAGGGAGTTACTCCAATTTACTTTTGTTGAAGATGGCAGTACCTAGCACTGCCAAGGTGGAAACCGTCAAGAATGCTGACTGTAGGATAAATTAAAATGAAGGAAAAAGGAGAGAAAAGCCTTCAAACCTCGTGGAATTAAAGAATTTGCTAATTATGTTTTATTTCTCATGATAAACAATGTTTCACAGCAAAATAAAGACCCCCTGAGCTTGCATTGGAAGTGGAGAGACAGCTCAGCTCAGTCCTGCAGAAGGCCAGGGCAGCTGCTGCGTCTCTGCGCCCTTTGGCTCAGCTGGGAAGGCATTCAGAAAACACGTACGCACCCTCCGCTGTCAGAGGCCTTCGCAGGATAAATAAGTGTTGTTAAGCTCTTCTATTTGCAGAATTATACTAAATGAGAGCAAGTGAGTGAATTTGACTGTCAAGTCCGGACAAAGACGTAATAAAGTATAAGAGTCATGAACATTACTCTCCCTCCTCCACGTATGATTACCTGAACAAATACTAATAGCACAAGCCCTGCAGAATTAAGTCTCTCAGGTTTATGTTCAAGCCTTCAGTTTAAAAAGCTTTAGGGCTAGGCATAACCTACTGGTTCTCCAGAATGAAAGAGGAGTGTTGTTTTGGATTTTTTTTCTTTTTTCTATTAGAGTCTCTCAAGATTGGCATAAAGAAGAAAAAGCCTATTCTGGTTTCTGGTCTGGTTTTTGCTCTTGTGGCAAGGAACTACAAAAACCCAGTGTGCACTGGCGTAATGCTTTAACTTTATTCCACATCTCAATTATTTTTAGCTTTTTACCTTGTCTGCTAATTTGACATTAGTCCCAAACTGTTAGTGGCCCAGGATTTGGAGGAATTCGAAGTGACATAATTACATGACACAAGTTTGCAGCTGTCATTCATGTTTGAAAGCTTCAATATTTAGTAAGCCAAGACTTCCCAGACAGAACAAGGAAGCAGGGCCCTTTACTTTGGGGCGCCAATTAACTCACTCTAGATTAGCTAAATAAATATCAGAATATTGTTTAATGGGCTCCTACTCATAAAGGCCTAGATAGCAACACATTTTCCAGTTGGTCCCCTTCACAAAGGTGTATCATAATCTTGGCTGGCAGCAGGGAAATCCAGATGAGGAGACAAAGGGACAGAGAAAACAGTATTTCTGTCTTCAGTTTGAACTACCACCATACCCTCAAAACCAACTCACAGAAACAACCCTGCCATCCACACATCTCCTCTATTCAATCCCTCTCAAAAACTGCTCTTTTAAAAAATATTGTTTAGCCTGACATGTAAAGTTTCAGAAGTGCACAGGGAGAGAGATCAAAGCATTGGAAGAGGAGAAAGAAGCTCACCCACACGCTGCTCTGCAAGAGAAAGGCACCTGCCAGCTTAAGGGGATACTATAACTTTAAACTTTGTATTTTTCAGGAAAGAGATACACATTGCTGGTTTGCAACAAATCACACACATCCCCACATTTTCAAAATATGCCAAGATAATATTTATTAACACAGCAGGACTTACAGATCACAAAAGATAGTGATACATAGGAGCTCGTAAGGGCGTTACCAGAATAAAGCATGCAGGTCAATACTTGCAGAAGAGAGATATCAAAGCAGATCTGAGAAGGCACATTCACACAGGAAATGTTTCGCTGAAATTAGACATTGGAAAAGCAGCAAAAAAAGTGAAGTTGATTAAAATATACAGAGATCTCCAATAATGCCAAATAAAAAGGTACTTTACAGATTTGTAAGTGCAGCAAATGGATAACCCTTTGAGAATACCCGGGCGAGGGTACGCTCTCGCTGCAGCGTTCGGCAGGACGCAGAACAAATTAGGTTCATATAACGTGACTAGGTGCTAATTAAAATACTTTCGTCTTAGAGTGAAATGTAAATTTGGGTTAAAAGAAGCAGCCTGGTTGAAACTAACAGCATGCAGCCAGTGCTCAAAGGGTTATATGAAGTAAATGCAAGAGAAATCAGGCAACATTAGTATAATCTACCTTCCACACAAAGAATTATAGCAAAGTTTAAAGAGACAGTATCCCCTTTGGAGAGAGCAAAACTGAAAACCTTTCTTCCCTCAGAGACCAAAGTCTGTTGTATGGGAAGCAACTCAACGATTTCTTTCTAATTCCCAGCGTAAACAACCTACCTGCCCATACCTGGAAGCTATGCAACGTGAAATCTCAATAGCCAAAGGGTAAAGACCTCTCTATCGGTATGTCAGAAAAGTCAAATCATTTATCAGCACCTCTGTCCTGCTGCTGTTTCACTGGAGATGTTACACGGTGCTTGCAAACATGCAGTTCCCAATGACTAGTCTCCCATTTCTCAGCAGTGAGGATGACAAAGGGATACTGTCCCTTTTTGACATTAGGTTTACAGATCGAAGAAAATTAAGAGAAAAGGAAATCTGCTTTTTAACTTTATGTAAACTGAAAAAAAGGACTTGAACATCAGCAGTTCATAGCTTGAAATGCATCAAACATACATAAAGGAACACATGAGCACAGAAGTATTCGTAACGGATCGTCCAGAGCACGCTCCGCTACGAGATCCAGAGTTAAATGGAGTAAAACTCTCCCTGTGGAAAAACATCTAGCTTGGCACCATAGGAGAATACAGACTTGTTTAAGTTTAATAAAAATAGCTTCTAATTAATACTTCAGAGTTCAAAAGTTTAGCAACAAGCACATGATCGGCTAACCCCTTTAAACAAACCAAAAAAGTCTTTCCTGCCACAAATGGCAATTATTTATCACCGATTTCTGTGGCAAAAGCTCACATCCTTTAGAAGAGCTACATAAGTCTAACTACCACCAAAAGAGGCTAGAAAAATATTAGGAAAAAGTGCTTTCAAAACCAAAGTAAACATTCAAGAATACACTGTAGGTGCTACGTTTTTGACAGCTCACTCAACTTGGAATTTTACCAAGCAGTAATATGAAAATTAAATGTCTTTGCTAATAAATTATTCCTGATATTTTGTACCCTGTTATAGAGTATCTTCCATGTCAAAGTTGCCAACTTAATTCTCTCCCCTACTTAAAAATATCATATAATGCAAAATTACAGTACTGTATATTTTCTCTACCCATATCTGCAAAAACGGAAGAAATATTTCATATGGAAATAACCAATTCTTGCAGTAACAGCTGTTACATTTACAGTTTGTATGCTCCCCCCTGTTCAGAAAAGCCTTTGACTGCATAATACTTGTCGCTAGAACACAGCAGTGGTTCCCGTATTATTGAAGGCCACAGAACATTTAACTACATTTTATCTTCCTATGTACATACAAAAAGAAAAAGCAGGACACTTGGGAAATCTGTTTTATGATACGCGATCGGATCAGAGACGGTCAATTCACTCTTTCAGGAGTACTTTCATAAAGGGAAATTAAAGAAGGTGAAAACCTGATAAGGATAAAGTAAAAGTCCCACGGTTTTAAATTTAGGTCCCAGAGTTACCAATCACGAGGCTAGCATTTACAGGCCCTTTGCACAATTATTCCAATGAGGGTTTTAACTCTAAAAAGTGTAATGCAATACTTCTACTTGCAGTCCTGCAGAATACTGGCTACACAGATTAAGCCCCACCATAACGGGAATATACTAGTGTTGTTGATTAGACAGCTTTTCATTAACAGCACAAATTAGTGTTCTGCCTACCCTTTTAAAAGCGCAGAGCGGGTTAAGTCCCCAAGCCAAATGCTTTGTTGAAACCAAGAGATTAAAGTGAGACACTCTGCCATTCATCTTGCTAATATAAATGGAATGACATTGTTTGTATTAGTGGAAAATTTTCCACTCAAATCCCTTAAGTGACAACAGCTAACAGGTACCAGTAATATGATGTTGCCAAATCTCAAAAATAAACTGGCATGGAGTTCAAACTGTTCAATCTATTTTAGTCATCTAAGACAAAAAATAAACACTGCCCTGCTAAGGGGCTGTTGGCTAGCGGGTGCACAGATTTAGAAGTCTTTCACTGCTGAAAGACTAGTGCATAATACTGTAATTTAGCACACAGAATAACACTGAAATCTCCATCACCTACGTTACCAGAGCAATCTAACCAGTTCCTCACCTGCTGCTGGTGGATGCTGGCCACTAACTGTTGGCAAATCCAAAGAGCTATCAGACATGACATGCTTAAGATCTCCTCCCACATCAGCCAGTTTCATGTCAAACTGAACAGACAACGCATCTTCAGAATCCTCCTTGCCGACACTGCTGCCACCAATAGAAGGGAGATCCAGAGACTTCACCGAGGCAGAGTCTTCTTTGGCCTGCTTGAAAGCTGCGACTTTGTCCACCAGGGACTTATCTGCGCTGTTGCATGTGGAAAACTTGTTAGAGTGAAAGTCGGCAAAATCATCATCGCTCTTCACTGAAGAAAGCGTGTTGTCCTTCGCCTCCTCAAAGCCTGCTCCAGGGCCTTCCAGAGAAAGCTGTTTGAAGATATCGTATTTGGTGGGCGTAGCAGCAGTGGCAGAACTCTGCCCGCTCTTCACCGTGCTGGCAGATGAGCCAGACTGAGGAACAGGACCGGCCTCCAGCTTAAGTGCATTGTATTTGTCATCTGTTTTTTGTTCGGAAAATCCACTGCTATTGTTGAAAGCCATAAAATCTGCAAAGTCATCTTGTCCACTGGCTGATGCGCAATTAGAAAATTCCCCAAAGAGGTTGAACTCTCCAAATTCATCAGCTAAGCTTGAACTTTTGTTGGGTGCTGGTTGGGCAGCGGTAGATGGAAGGGGTGGTGGAGGAAAGGAGCCCGATTTTGATGTATTAAATGCAGGTGGAAAGGATGGCTGCTTGTTTTCTCCAGTAGAGGAAAAGAGATCCAAGTCTGCTAGATTCAAAGAGGTCTTTGCTTGTGTTTGCTGTTTTGACTGAACAGGCAGAGAAGGGAAGGATGTAGGGTTTTTTTTTTTGTCTTTTGTAGGTGGCTCTAATGGTGAGATGCTGTCAGCGGTTTTAAAATCTGTGAAACCATCATCGGTTCCTGCAGGCTTGAATTCTGCAAGGTTCTCTCCTGAGAATAAACACACCAAAAAAACCAGTAAGATACTGCAGTGACAACAGATACATCATACTCACACCATGCAAGCAAGCAAATTATTTCATGCAATGTCAGAAGTTTTTAAGCAAACTACTTAAATTAAGACCTCAGGTTCCATGTAGAACTGCAAACTCAACTTCTATGAACCACACGAGTTTCAAGGTCAACGATTCTAACAGTCATTCCAGCAAACACTTAAGTCTTTCAAATAGCCTCAAAGTTATATTAAATTCCCTTTACACTGAGTTAATATCAAAACAAACCATGACCAATAGATTCAAAAGGTGATCAGTACTGTCTCACTCAGTTTCCACGCAAGTTCTTTTTCCCACTTCATCCTTCCCATAATTGCCAAGCAACAAATGTAATCTTGAATTTCACTTATACCAATATAGTATTTGCCTTCTTACAGAAGCAACTCTCCCCCTCCTTCCCTTCAAAATATTGCCTAAATATAGTTTATTCATGGGGCGTCAGCAGAGGGTTGAGACAACAGCAACCCTGCTGATAAGCTGAAAGGGGAACATAGTAGAGACCAACTGGACTTGCCCGGTGGCTGAAGGTACTTTTGAAAAAAGTTCACTTGAAAGAAGGCAGACAGCCAACAAGCCTACCCAACTGGGCATAATGGGGAACCCGACGGGTGGAAGAGACAAAGCCTCAAGCAGAAAAGAATGCAAGGTGGTGATCCTAACATGTTGGTTTAGAACATTTTTAAGCTCTCGTTTTAATCTATCCTGTTTTCCTTCTGTCAGGTTCACCTAAACGTACAAAAGTGTTAAGTGATCAGAACTTCAGTAAATGCAGTATAACTCAGGCATCTTCTAGCTTCTGCTAAGACTGATTACAGTTTTACTAGGAAGCTTGGAGACAGACTTTCACATGAAAGTCAGCATGATTAATCATAAGATGTGCAGATCTCTAGTTCAACTACATACTGAATGTAAGGTAGTACTGTGTAAGGATTAGAACTTAAACCTGATTAAACATTAGGTAACAATGTTTTCATTGAATTTACATTAAATATTCTGGTGTACTAATTTTATAAGTTTCTTCCTGTTCATACACAATTATTTTTTTAATAAGGCAATTTCTTTTGAACATGAAAAATGTTGAGTTGTTTAACCCATTCACCAGCATGTACATATTTAGACTTCTTGTCATTTTAAAGTATTGATGCATACTTTAAGACAAGTGTCCAATAAACAGATTTTGTTCTTTTTTAGAAGTACACCATTAACATTTAATTAAGCTACCACAGTGTCATACTTTAACTTAGTTTAACCAAGATTTAAAAGAATACTCTTTATAATGGTAGTAAAGGACCATGACTATACCTGACATATTCTTCCATTCTCCCTCCCCTCCAAATCAATTCACTTGGCCCAGTAACAATACAAATATTCGTGAAATTGCTATTCATTGCTCAAAACTAAAACATCACAGCAAACTAAACTTACTGATGAATTGCAAACTTTTCCATTAGAAATGTAAGCTGGTGAAAGGGTTAAGAGTGGTCAGACCTGGATAGCAGGCAAATATAGTAATTTTCTATATTCTAGAACATGTACAGAAAGAGATAAAACGTTATTTCATTTCATTGCATGCATTTAATCCTGAAGAGGTACTGAGCATGAAAACCTCACACAACATTACAGGAGTTTCAGAAACTCAGTGTCTGAAAAAAAGAATTCCGTCTTTGAAAATCAAGGAGTAGGAGTGAACTCAGGTAAGCAGTTTTATCCCAGAATCTGAAGTTGTCTTCTAATAACGAGTCAAAATGCTGGGTATGACATAAATCTATGGAAGTCAGGTTAAGTTAGTAATATGTTTATCTTCTGATCTGTCTACTGACAAGAAAAATGAAAGTTTTTCCCCATCTGATTAAAAAGATGAGATTACCACTCATATTGCATAAATGAGTTAGACATAGATGGTTCTGGAAAAGGCTTAGGGAGACTCTGCTTTTGTAATTACACAGATGTTGCACCTCAGATATCAGGTTTTATTTTTCCCAATCAAAACCAGTTAAACACAAATTTCACAGTAAGTGATCAGATTTATTCTTACAGCACCAGAGACCATGAAAAGTTTAGATTCTGCCCTAACAATAGAAAAAAGTTGCAGTTTTGTCCAGAAGCATCTTATTCTGTCTTCTAAGAACATTCTCCTTAGTTAAAATGAACAAATTCCAGCCATACTGTTATTCGAAAATAAAACTCAGAAGCATCCAAACCAGACGCGAATCATCTAGAACTACAATTTGTAGATTGTTCCAATAGTATATTACACTATTTTTCAGGATGCTTCCTGCTAAGTTGTTTAGAGGAGCGGAAGCACCATTATTCTAGAATTCTAGCAATGGCAGTTCTGCAGCTCATAAAAATAATCATGAAAACATGTTAAAACAGCACCAAAAAACACACTGCTTACCCAAGTATTTGCTCTCCGATGGTTGTTCTAATTCACGGAAAGCACTATACTTGTCTCCACAATCTAGTGAATATGAGAAAAGGAATACATTTACGTAAAGATGTTAGGAATTCATATCATAAATTTTATATTGATATAATTGCTCTGATTTTGAAATATTAATAATTTATCAATGCCAAAACCAAGATATATGAAATACTGCAATAAATCGCTCATAGTGGTTGTATATTTTTCCTTTTACCTCCAAAAGTAGCTGTACTATCAGAAGGCTTCTCGGCTGCAATTCCTTTAAACACAGCATACTTATCAGTTGACGAGAGTGTCTTATTACCTGGGAGTGGCATTAGTAAAGAAGGAACACTAAAAACAAAAGACAGAAAAGCAGAAGTTCCTTAATTTATACATAAGAAATCTACGTTTCCAGGTTTTATTTAAAGGAGCCTCTTATTATGACTACACAATTTGGATCACTAAACCTAAGCTTGTACCCTAAAGAGTTCTTAATCAAGAACCTGATGTAAATTACCTCAGTATCTATCAAGAATAAGAGCATGTAAGCAGGCAGCTGGGTAACTGATGGGTGAATTCGCACTTTATCTCACCTAATCATATTTCTTCAGGCTAGAAGTCAATTTTCACCCTTCTTGATTTTAATTTGTACCAAAACATGCACAAAACACTCCAGAACTTTACACCACAGGAATTCTTAGCCCAGGAGACAATAAGCACACAGACATACCCCAGGAATCACTGCTGTTAAATTTATCACTTTGCCCAGGGCAGTGTAAGGACAATTCTCCCTGATAGAACTAGATATAGTGGAGTTAAAATCGCATGAGATTTTGCCAGCTCCACATTTTCAGCTTATCTACTTTTGATTATATTTCATTACATATTGCAAAATAAAGAGAATAAAGTGGAACCACTGTTCAAAAGGAAGGAAAGGATAACTTTGAATTTCTGTCAGTGCAAATCAGCGAGTTTAGGTAGCTATCTTATCAGCAAAATAAGGATCAGTCCACAATTACACAAGCAAATCTTTTTGCATATAAACACACTCTACTTTATATAGTAAAACTGCCATAATAACCTAACACCATGTTAGCAACTGCTGTAAGATTTAGACGACTTCTGCGAGAGCTTTGCTTGCCCTCCACACAAGCCCCCTTATCAGACCTTGGCAGCTCTACAGAACAACATCCTTTACATATGAATGATGCATTTTACCTCTAGTTTATGTCATTCAATACTATGCACATTGAAAATGTGAATGAATTTCTATGGTGGTCTTTGGCCTGAAGCAAGAATCTTTCCAGAGCCATTTAAATCTCCTTATCAGCAGCCTACAAGCAACATACAAACCTAGCGCTTGCACACATGTGCTAATGACAGTCTGTGATGCTTGCAGACAGACAGTGCAATGTCAAAAAAATATAGCTTATGGTAATATAATTAAATTTCACATCACTGCAAAACAGGCTATTAGATATGCAGTCTTGGCAAATGTAATGGTTAATCATCTGTACTCTACAGATGGCATTTTTTTTAATAAAGCTCCATAAGCAATTAGATTATAGCTCGTTGTAACATTCTGTTCAAAACTGAACGCTTTTACAACTGAATAAAGAGAACTGCTGCAGTGAAAAAGAAACACCATTTTTAATTTTTTTTTTTTTTTAAATGAACCCCTTCCCATTGTGGAATTTACAAGCAATGTTTCTGTTAAAACTTTCAGTAAAAGAATAGCTTTAACCACAAAACGATGTCTAACACAAATTAAGGTATACTTAAAACAGAGCATCTTCAGATGCACGTGGCACTGATTGACATCAGCAAAATTAAATTTCTTACATAGAATGCCGTTAGGCACAGCGTAACAGAACAATTTGTTTTATTATCCCCATTTGACGTCACTGTTGAGGAAGCAACTGGTAATCACTGCTTACCTGGAAAGCGCTAGTTCTATTTGCAACTAAGAACAGTCAGTTCAACACACAGAAAATTTGTATGTCTACAATTAGACACCTGGGAGGTACATAAAAGTTTGCCATATGCAGTAAAAGGAAACAACACTGAAATGTTGTAATCACAGGACTTTGAAAGATTAAATGTAAACTCTCAAAGGGAGTAAACATGCTTACTTATTTTGTTACACAAAATTTGCCTGATCTGGAATTACATTTTGGCAGTCTCCCAAATGAAAAGCCAAGACTGCTGAAGTCTGAATGAGATTTCAGTTGAGATTTATAGTCAGTTATCGGAAGTTTAAGCACTGGCCAGAGAAACGATAGAAATAACAAAAACTCTGTCCACTGGAGTTCTCAGTCATTTAAGAGTACAACGTCGTACTCTTTGCATGAATTTTGGGGTCCATATTCAGGGCCCGAAGAAAGACCTCGATGTCAGCAAATTGTTTCTTATCAAGTCCAACAAACATGGGGTCATACTTTTAACAGAAGCACACAGCACTAAATGCAGAACTCCTCTGTCCCAGTGTTATTTTTTCTGAATAGCTTTATGTAAGATTTTCACCTGAATGCACAGTATGAAGTAACTTTCAATTGCCTGTGCAGTAGTATAAACACTTGAAAACCTATCCCCATACCTTGTAAACACAATTTACCTCAGCATGATGACTAGAATGCTAAAGTACAGCCAACCACCTATGGCACATCAAATGTCATTTTTGATTCAGAAAGCCTAATTGTAGTAGTAACAACCTTCAAAAGAAACTGTCAGAGTAGAAGTCAGGTGACAGAAGAAAATTACAGGCTAGACAGCTACCCACAAAAGAGGAAAACATTTCATTTCTTAAGAGTTCTAAAACACCAAAGGGCTGGAAATCAAAGATCTACTACCTGCTCCGGTGCTGTGAACTGGCTGCTTTGGAGGAGCCAGCTACATCCCCTTGGAAATCAGTGAAAGAGTCATCTAGTGAGCCAGACTTTGAGGCATCTTGAAACTCCTGGAAGTCATCATCTTCTGGTTTTACTACCTGAATTACAAACAACATGTAAATTGCTATACTGTTGTCTTTTCAAGTTGCCATGTAACATGAAAGCAGTTCAGAGTTGCATGATCGACTTAAGAGAAAAAAAACAAAACAAAAGACGGAAAAAGCCTTTCAACGCAAGCGCGCAAAATTAGCATGGTCAGTCCTTCCACTTCGCCTGCACCTCACCCAACGCAAAACACACACAAGGTGTACAGGATTACAAGTAGTACGCATGAAGAACAGGTGAGTACGGAACTCTACTCCTTTCACATTATATGTATTATTGATCATAGCCATGTAATCTTTTAATACAGGACAAATAATAATTTAAATCAATCAATAATTTAAAATCAATACACACAGCAAAGGCATCGGAAGAAATATTCTCCGAAGAAGGATGAACCATACTTGCAAACAGCAAAATTTATCCCCCACATGATTTACAGTGTTGTAAACCAAAGGTTTTCATAGTCCTCAGCTTCTCCTGAAAAGTCTGACTTATTTTACCAGCTAATAGAGTCTGTTGTAGAGTTTAACCTAAAATTCCATTTTATGTGCATTACAAAATCCTAACTACAACTAAAACCCCCTTTCAATGCAATTAGTTTGGAATGGAGAATGCTTTTGTACCTCTTCTAATGCCACCAGAAAGAAACAGAAAAAACAACAGAACAGCCTTAGTGGCGTGACTTCATGTTTTCAGATGTCACGTGCTAGATTTCAGCTCCATTTTTTCTGTTTACTTGAAGTCTGTTGTCACTACGTAGCTTTGAAAGAGTCAGGCTAATTCTCTTTCCGGGACAATGGAGATTTGCTACGCAACAAGAGTGAGCTAACCTGACTCGGCGGGTAGGATGGCACAAATCCTCCCGAAGGCTGTGCTGCAGCTCCGCCCGCTGGTGCCGTGATGTTCATTCCCATCACGGCCGGCCCAATGCTAAGAGGCATGGAGACCGGCGGTGCGGAGGGCATCAGAGGCTGCTGGCTCACTGTGGCAGGCAGCGGCATTGGAAATCCAGTTAAAGTAGGAACAGGGGCAGCTGGAAACTGGTTTAACACGTCAGGACTCACTGCAGGTATTCCTCTCTGCAAAGGCAGAAAAGCAAAGACAACCATGTACACACGTACACATCAACAAAAAGGCATATTGCATTCTCACCCCAGTTTCTAGCTTGTATTATTGAAATCATGATAGAGCAGGGTACTGGTCAAGCTTCAAGTAAACCTTCCAAAAGAAAACATGCTATCAAGATCCTGTATAAGTGAATCCTGACTGCTGGAGTTACACAGAGGGTAGTGATACCTGTCTGGGTGGGCAGAGGCATTTGGCAGCATTCTTGTTCGGCTTTTAATAAACCAATCTAGTAAGCACTGGCAAGCAAAGCTATGCTGAACCTAGTGTGCTGTATCGTCTTTCCTACACACCACTCCAACAAGGTACCTCAGCTTTGATCTTCGTCGCTCGAGATGGTCTTGCCTTAGTTTTCATACAGGGCTGGTATTTGGAAATAAACTGCTAAGAGGTGACACTATGCTGACAGAGAACGGAAGCCTAAAATTAACACTCCACTGGTTCAGGAGAGAGGTAGCAAGTCTAGCTATTCGCAGACTAAGGGATACAGGAACCATATAGTCTGAGGAAAACAGATGTGTATACAACAGAAGAAAAACAGTATTTTCTACTAGAAATACATATACATGTGTTTGGTAGGCATATCTAAGAACTATCCTCAACTGGCACTAAAGAAAGGAGTAACTGAAATGTAAATGCAGGGCATGAAATTATAATCCCACTGAAGGTACAAGGGGAGCTTCTCCTCTGGACTTCAACAGAAGTAGTATTTTACCACAGGTGTGTTATACCAGCCACTTCTGCCAACACGCAATCTATGACAGATTAGTTAAGTGAACTGCCTTTTTGCACTAATCTCCAAAGTGTTAGTCATACCTGAGTTACTGCTATCATAGCCAGGACAGCGTAGAGCTCTTCTTTTGTGAGCTTCCCAGGAGTAGTGCGGTTGGCTAAAGCCCATATTTGTCCAAGGGTCTCTCTGGGCAATCCAGATGACATCAGTATGGGATAGAGTTTAGCTGTATCTATTCCAGTAGGAGTCAAAGTGGTTTCTAAAATTTTCTTATACAACTCTGTTAAGAGAGAGTCAGTATTAGACAGTGACAACTGCTGTTTTCAAGTGAGTTTAAGATTGCTTTTCTATTTCGTCTCAAACTCAACATGTAAGTTGAGTGTAAGGTAAGGCAACAGCATTCTGGCATTGTATTGTATCATTGTGTTTCATCTAAATACATTATTGGATGGTCTTTACAGACAAGTTTAACACAAGCAAATATTTTATATAAAATATAGTCAGTGCTCCATTTCAAAACATGTTTCTTTAATGAAATTGCAGAATAATCCATATAAAAAGATAGTTATAATAGCTTTATGTATTTAAACCTCAGTGTAATCGATATTTACTACAGCATTTCATTTTCTATTTACTGTGTAATTTGCATATATAAGATAAATAGCCTTAAGAAACGAGCCTGCTTAATTACAAGACAGGCCAAAAACCAGACTACCCATGAAAGCAGTATTATCAGCAATGCAACCTCTACTAGCACAATCTTCTGTCATAACAAATTCTAGATTAAACATTTAACATGCTTGAATAAAACCCATATTTTTTCAAATGCAGATAAAGCCACCATAAATATGTAACATATCAAAGATATAGGATTCATTTGATGACTGAAGAATAATGCTTTGATCAATAAATGGCAACATAAGCACACATACATTCACACCTTATATTGCCCACTTTGTTTACCTGGGACCAAGCTATCGTTGTAAATCCAAGGAGGCATCATTTGCTGAATTGGGTCCTGTGAAGGGAATACTCCAACTCCTAAACATATCCCATTCAGTAAGAAAAAGACAGTTGCATTAGGATATACAGATTCAGACTATAAAGATCTTAGAGACTAGATCATAGTTGGTCAGTATCATTTAGCATTTCAGGCAAAGATTTCAGATAGGAATCACTGTGCTCAGAGGAAAAACAGCTACTGCAGGAATATGTATTTCAACATACCTAGAATTATTCAACAGTAACAGCCAGAATATGGTTATATACATAATGAAATAAGGAGCTCCTCATTTGCCTCCCTCTTAATTTCTAGCTATACAGAAGCTCAAGTCTCACTGTCTCTTAAAATTTCATAGCAGCAGTTCTGTGCCATACCAAATTTAGTCTTCTCATCAAGTATATGCTATTAGGGCTACTTGTGGAATAAATAAATTCATACCTACCATATGAACCACAATGTTCCACCAGAACATCCTTATCGAGGAAATCCACAAACAGCCTATTAGACTGAATCTCAGCAAGATCTTATCCCATGTTCACAAAAACGTATCCATTGCCCCATAGCCTTCAGATCCAGAAGACGTCATAGCTGCCTTCACTACTACAGGCTTTCATAACACGATCTGCCACACTTTACTCCCTGTGAACTGGTTATTCCCTTCTCCACTGTGTAGACTTCCCCTCAGTCTCATCGTTTTACTCCCTATCTAGCTCCCTCTAAGCAGATTTTACGCTCATCTTGGATGGAGCTCTGACAAAAATCAGAATCATTTCAGATTTCATTGTCTTTCCCAGTGCCCTTGCATCTCCTCATCTTCCACATGGATTCTCTCCTGACTGCAGTCTCATTTCTAATCATCCCACAACTCCAAGCACATTTTAATATAAGGAATTCCTTCCATTTCACCAGCCAAGTAAAATAAATTTGCTACTTCCTCCAGCCTCATTATTCTTCAGCTTCAACCACCCTTCCATACACTTCTGCATCCCACCAATTCTTGCTTCTCACCCTTGAATCTCTCTGGTAAAACTCAGCCCCTTAAAAATCAATTAGTATGAAAAGTAAAAAGGAATTCTCAGCCATATTTAGTTGATAGATAGCAGAGTCTTACTCAAAACTTTGATAATATCCAGGTGACTAAGGGTCTGCCATTTTTCAGCATTATCACTTAAATACTAAACTTCTGTTCCTCACAAAGTACTTCAGTTCATCCTTCAAAGCACCCTTAACATTCGGAACTATTCTGAACTATTGTTGCTTTAGATAATCACTTCCAACACCATCTTCATCTGCAGGCTGTATTTAAACTCGCTGTCTTACAGTCTTAAACCAGGGTCATTTCCTACCTCCTCTCCCCCCACCCTTTTTTTTTTCCTTTTTCTTTAAATCAGGCATCATATTGTGTTGAATTGGTACAAAATGAACAACGCAATTCACTGTGAATTGAATAAATTGTGAAATGAAAAAATGAACAGCTCCTATTTCACGCTGTATATTCTTTAAAATTAAGTCACTTTTAGCAATTTACTGTGTGTTACTAAGCCCTCCACTTATTAAAAATGTCCATTCAAACCTTTTAATTTCATCCAATGATGTTTTTTAAATACATTGGATAAGAAAACACTTGAAAGCAACACATCCAATGACTGAGGAGAGGAACACGTGAGTTTTTATTAATAAAAAGTTATGGTACTTCTAGAAGAGAAATAACTGCTCGAGAAAGTGCCCAATTCAGTTATCTACAGACCAGCAGCCTTCTCCCCCTTCTCCATCTCCTCTCACCCCCCAGTAAAGTGAGAGTACACAAAGGGCTACATTTATTTTTATCATACTTGACTACAGTGAAGCCCACATTTCATGTAACCCTTAAGTACAACATCAGAGCACTAATCATCGGGGTGCACCAGAGACCTTGGATCTATATTGACTGGAATAAAACGAAACCAAACAGTCAATAGTCAGCTTTAATAAAATCCAAATTGGAACTAAAGCCTGCTTAAAGTTTTCATCTAGTCCAGCTTTTGGAATTTTGATCCCTAAAGCACAGATAGTTTTAGGCATAACGCATATGAGCGGCAAATTGTCTGGGAAACAAGTATTAACTAGCTAAGAGTTTTAAGCTAAAAAGATTTTATCCCCTCAGAGTTAAAAGATGAAAACCCACCATGACATTGACCATCTTTAGTAATGTTTCCTTAAATAATTAAAAAAATAAATCTTTAGAGAGGACATCTTTTTTTTCCCCCAAGAAAGAGGACAGAATATTTTAAAACAGCAGACCTGATTAAACAAACATGTTAAAAGTGATTACAGCAGTAAATCCACATGGAAAAAGTTCAGAGCAAAATCATAGTTGTTATACTTTTAGGAAGGAGCAGGAGGCACTGACATATTATTCAAGCAGGCATTCAGAGCAAAATTATGCAGGATTGGCCTTAGAATTAGTGTACAGAGTGTTAGCATTCAAGCAGCATCTTATTAGATTTAAATTCTGTCAAATGTTTCATTTGCTCACCACACTCTTCAACTGCTATGTTTTGTTCTGAAACCTTGTGCACCTCTGCAGCAGTGGTACCACTTTCATGTCCACCTACAACATCCCAGTCATTGATGGTTAGACTGGGATGAACTTGGCTTGCAGCCGAGGCTTTGTGCCCAACTTCGGATGTTTTAAGTTTGGTTTGCTCTTGTTCAGATTCATTTGAGCCATTATCTAAGGCTTTCTCCTCCAAGGAAGAGCCTGAATAAACAGCAGGAGGGATTATTTATATTTTGTTATTAACCACCCAGATCACAATTCCACACTTTCAAAGGAAAAGTATTACTGGTACCACTGATGAGTTATCAAGATGAGTATCCATCCCAGCTTAGACCAACAGCACCACCCTGTTCAAACACTTTTGTAGCCTGATTCTGCCCTTTACTTACCATGCATACACAACAAATTCAACAAACAAAAAGCAACAAGTAGAAGGAACACACAAAACTATTTTCTGTATTAGAATTACCGTTGCATAATCATCTAGGCATCAGTATCAGCAGTGTCCAATATCTACTTATATCTGCAAAATTCTTCACATTAATCTCACCAACATCCATTCAGCCTCCAAGAGAGGAAGCACACAAGTGCTCCACATTAGCGTAATAGTTATTTTTATACCACCATCTCAACTGTATCTTTTTCTACTACCCAGACTTACAACGATGCTAGCACACAAGACTTAGTTCACTTAAGATCAGCCATCTGCATATTTAGCAATCTTTGGATCCACACGTGACTTGCTTTTACAGTGCAGTTCTAAGGGAAGGAAGAAGGGGACTTAAATCATCTTTTCCCATGGATCAGCAGGTTTCCACTTAATTGTCTATATATTAGTTCTTTCAGACAGACTGAAAAAAAAACCCAACTAAATAAGTAAAGACACTGCGTAGCTCTATGACAGAAGGTGACATGTAGAAAAGATACTTTAGTGTTACCTGTTTTATGGATATTGGGTGAAGATGCAGAGGTAGGAAAATAAGGAACCTGCCCAGTTGTACCATGCAGGATGGATAACACTGGAGTCTGGGCTGGAGGGAGAGGTTGGACCACAGCCTTTTCTGAAAGCAGTTGCCCAGCCTCAGCAGCAGAATGGAAAGGCTGAAAAGGCTGAGAGGTGGTTTGAGGCACCAGTTTGGGGATTTCAACAGGCCCTTGTATAAAGTCACTAAATTCTTCATCATCGAGAAAAGCAGAGTGGGAAACAGATACAGCAGAAGGGGATGATGTGGGATGATCTGTAAAATGGAATGAACACACAATGCAAAGTGATGAGGAACAAGGTTCACAGGTGGAAAGGTAGGAAAAGTGGCAAATACTAGGTATACGTAGCAAATGGGTGGGGGGAAACAGCAGTGGATGCATTATTTGACAGAGATGTGCAGAGTTGTTATTGTCAGCATAACAAACACATAGGGTAAAACTGAGCAGCCACTTCCAACCATGCATCTTCTCTCCCAGATTTTTATGATGTAAACACTTTGACTGAAACTTGATTCTTAACACTGGCTATGGAAGTACACTATTTGTTTTAAACAGACTGGGTCAAAACAAATCGAGAAGTAATATTTCAAACTGGACATAATGGGGGTGTGCACGGGGGGGACATTCTCCCTTAAAGGAGTGTTTTATCCTCAAAAGCTCAGTAATATATCATAAGATACGCAAGAAATGCGTACTCATTTAGACAATCTGCTGTTTGATCCCTTGCATAGTTACCCATTTTGACAGAACTGACATAGGACAGGCAAATCTACAGACAACAGAAGATTGTCAGAAACCACCTGTAACTTCAAAATTATCAAAGAGCAAATCCACAGTACAGATAAAGATTTTATACAGGAAAAAGCTTGTCTAGATAAGCTTTGTTTCAGGCTAGACACAGAACAAACTATACCACAACCCACAGGAAATCTTTAGTAGCAATTGTTACAAATGTAGTAATTACTGAGAAGAGAATACAGAAGGCTTCGGTTTGACCATGCCCAGGCAATGGTACACAAGTAAGCTATTACAGTACACTGAAGTTTTGGTCATTCTTAGCACTTGTATAGCACTTCTCAGCTTCAAAAGCACTCTGCAAAACATCAATTAATGCTTTGACTAGAAAAGAACAAATGCATTATCAATTTCCGTGATATTTCACATTAAGCACAGTGCATTAAGCTTTCTTTTAAAGATTTCAAGTCTTCTAATAGGAGCTGATATATCTAGTATTTCACCCTCATAACCTGACCAAGCAAACAGTTGCTAGAATGACACTTTAGTTTACAAAACAGTTAATCCACTCACTTTGTACCACCAAATAAAAATACTTTTTGGACTTAGTTCCCCCTGCTAAGGATTTCAAACATTAGAATTTTATTTTCAGTTGGAAGATGAGAAAAATGACAAACCTGGCTTTTTGGGATGTGATGCTGGTGTCGGGTGCATTTTAGCATCTCTAGAAAAACCATCTAAATTTCCTTTAATGGCTTCCAAAGCATCATCCCTGCTTTTTTCACCTGTCTGAAACACCAGGGAACACATTTTGAAAAATTCACAGAACAGCTCAGTTTTCTTTCAATATCCACACTTCTTCAGTACAAAGTTCGCCATGCCTGCTGTTAGATTAAACCCTTCTTTCTCCAGCAGTGCCTTCCTGAAGCACATCAACAATAACCCCCATATTTAGAAAGCATTTATTTTGCAGACTACACCATAACAGTGTTTCTCAGTCTTTAGACATAGCTTTATGCACAAGAACTATATATAAACCTTACTCAGCTATTTGCATTCTTGCAGAGAAGAGCCTTCAAGCTCATTGCAAGTGTCCAAACCTTTGGACAAAGTTAACAAACAAGCAACCAAACGTTCTCTAGTCTAGAGGCTCAATCTGTTCCCAAATGTTACATACCAGGTTGGTTTATTTTTCAAAAGCTGATTTCATTTTCAACACCAGACTTTGTTTACATTACACCAAGAGTGTGTAAAGGACTGACTATTCAGATGCTTTTCAAGATGTAATCTGATGTCTCATATAAGTTCCCCATTACTTGCTTGTTGAAAGAGACCATCCCATTAAAAGCCATTAAAAAAACCTGAAGAAAGAAAAACCCCACTTATTATTTAGGACATACCTTAGGTTTCACACTGCTTAGGAGTCTCAGCTTTTGTTTCTGCTCTTCAAACTGCCGCCGTTTTCTTTCTTCTTCCAAGAATTTCTGCTGGTGCTCAAACCTCTTCCTGAAGCAAAATGATTAAAAAAAAAATCTAAAAATAATTTTTCATTACAATTTTCATGGTAAGCTTCTGCTTGATTTTTCCATTTCTTCTGTCTCACATTCAAGATGGCTCAGTGCACACATTTCTACTTCTCAGAGCGGTATGACAGCCGCTACTAGCTTCATAGGTGGCCTTCAAATGCAATAGAATGATCTCAGCAATATTCTACAGCCCTAAATGGACTACTTTTCTAGAGAAGCTATCAATAGTTTTACTGTGTGGGCCACCCCCCCAGACTACATCTCCCCCTTAAAAAAAGAAGAATTTCCCAAGAGTCAGTAAAGTGTCACTTACTGTTGTTCCTCTGCAAACTGCTTCTGCATGTCAGGGGTGTACTGCGGGGCTGCTGGACGCATTCCCAAGAAAGAAGCCTGTCCCATGTAAGGCATTCCGGTCGCTGGCATCGGCCCTAAGGGCATGCCACCCTAGAACAAAATAAATACAACTCCAAGATATTTTTTTCCCCATAGAAAAAGCCAAACCACTGGCAATTACACCCTGCCAAATTGCAAACTAGGTAGATCTCATAAAATTAAGAGTGCTAAGAATAGTTGGATGAGCAGTGTCTGAGCACAGACTAGCTGCTACAGAACAAAGCACTGGTCATTCAGTAGATGGCACTCTTCCCTCTCAATAATGAGTTACAATTCTTAAAGGATTTTAGAAGACAGGATGGTCTTCTGGTCAAATGCAAAAATCAAGACTTCAAATCCATACAACCTACCTCAAGAGCAGGAAGGTTACAGGCATCCTACAGTGCTACATGTGGTTCAGTACCATGCTTTTGGGTTTTCTTGGGGTTTTTGTTTCCTATTCTGAGTGATTGTGTAATACTTTCAAATTCCCTGCTGGAGGAGCACATTCCTAACCAACGATGGGTGCTGGCAAAACGTGGTCTACTCATCTTGCAACCGTAGCTTATCCAGGGGTCCGAGGGAGACAGTGTACGACAACAGCCAGGAGGAGATTTGTCTGAATAAACTGCATCCGTATCAGAAATATTTGCTGAGAAATATATTCTGGTACAGTTACAGCAGCAAAGCTTGCCTAATATAGAAGGGGCCAGAAAATAATTTACTTTTCTTACCATTCATTTTGTGTTTGGTATCAGAACACATAGAAAGAGAACAAAAGTTGTTTATTATTTTTAGACCAGCTCCCATAAAAACATCTTCCTACTATAACTTTTACAAAATTAATCCAATAAATTCCAGGTGGGGGTGGGAAGGGAAGGGAGTGTAAGGAGATGGCAAGATACAATAAATTCAATTTGTCACATAGCAATTTGGCTACAAAGCCGTGCCAAAACATTAAATTTCAGCAAAGTGCAAATTTGTACATAAGCACATATGGTGCTAAATAGAAAAAGCCAAACTATTAAAAGAGAGAAAACATAATATTAGCTACTCATATTTCATTCTTATTCCTCAATTAGCAACAGCAGAGCTAAAGACAAAGTGACTTTAAGCAAGAAAAAGAATGAGAATGAAACACAGAAGTAGGACAAGCGGGAAAAGCGGTCACATGAGAAAATACAGCACATATAACAGTGTCCTTGCTCCCTAGAACAAGGTATTTAAAAAGAAAGTTTATGAATTGCCATCTACACTCAGGAAACTTAATTCTATTAACTCTAGCATTTGAGTTACAAAGGGATGAAACAATTCAGTGAATTGGTCACGATCAATCAGATTGTGTACACAGTCACTTCTTATCTGCTTATAAAGGTCTCATTTAAAATACTACACAATACACCACCTTAATGGTAAGTACATAAAACCAAAGCAAAAGAAGAAAAAGCACGAAGCAAAATTAAAAAGACAGAAGAGGTATGTTGTGGGAGTTCTGAGTTATAGTTACTTAACAATTCAATACTATTACTAACCACACTTTGGAGTAGGTGGCATCTGGTAGCTTCTCAACATCTTGCTGATGCTTTTGTTTCTTTTCCTGTTCAGACACCATGCTTCTCTTATCACACTTTGGTGTCATAACACGTATAATGAAATGAAAGTTCAGATTCTGACATCTTTGAGTGGGCTATAGCGTACAGGTTACTTTAAATATTACTGATGCTGTCCTTGCACTACACCCTCATTTCTCTCTACTCTACAACAGTGAGTAATGTATGCTAAACTCCCCCACTCTCTCTATCCAGATCCCAACGAAACTTGGAGAATTCTTTAATTAGAAATATCTTCAAAGTGAATACTACAAAATACAATGTCCCACTATGGACTAATACCCACACTTCAGTTTTAGCCAAGTTCCACCCTCTTACCCCCACTGCAGTTGCAAGGGGACTATGGCATCAGCTGTCACCTTTCAGACAAGCACCGAGGTATCTCATTTCAGCCCACATTTCATTGCCACGTACCTGCATGGTCATGGGTCCAGGAGGCATCTGAGAACCATAATTCATTCCCATCATGCCTGGCATATTGGACTGCATGACAGGAACCATTGGAAATCCTTGCTGTTGCATAGGAATCATCCCTACAATGAAACAATAAACAAGGTAAGCTCCCAGTTAGTGTTAAAGGTGGTAGGGGGGTTGCCTTTTTTTTTTTTTTTAACTAAACCAGCAAAGGAAAGGAAAAAACTCTCAGTCTTGCTGGACTGTTTAAAAAATAAAAAAAAATATGCTACACTGCAGGCAGCCACAGAATTTCCTTAGTTTAGATATTGGTCAGTCTAAGGGAAGAAATGTTATGGGGCTTTCCCAATAACTAAGCTGATGAATTCTCCCACCATCCTAAGGATTCTCTGTGGGTTTCTTCCCCTACGATTTTTGAAAGGGTAATTTCCAATTAACAAGCTTTAATTAACCAAGTTGACTGGTGCTGTTCATTGTCTGTTCCTCTTGAAGGGGAAAACTTAGAAACTGGCAGCTTTTGAAGATAAGTCTTGGGAAATAAACTCATCATTTCACAATGCAACTTCACACTCTGATCTGGCTGGTTAACTTGTCTGTAGGTTAATTAGCCCACTACATATATTAGAACGGTTACAATATTTGTCAGTTAAAGCTAAACTTCAACAAAACTGGACAAATCAAGCTGGAATGTATTAATTCACTGGATAAAGCCAAGTGGATTATGTTTCAGTATTTTCATATCTCATATTTTGCTATCTTGGGAGACATACACTAACACACATTTGTTACCAGCACACCATGAGATAATTATAACTGTGCATAACTGAACATCACACGCAAAAGCACTCCAGGAGGGACACGACACACTCAGGAGTAATCCATAAATCAGTCCCCGAGACTTTTTGTAAGAAAACCCTCC